AAAAAAAAAAAAAAAATCTGTCACATAACAATCTGAAGTATTAAAATTGACTGTAGCTTATCTCTTCTTTCCTATGTCTTTTGCATTACTCTGTGCATCATTTATTTTCCACTATCATTAAAGTCGTTTCTTATTCCCCCCAAAAGACAGGAACTTCAGCCCCAGTTACACTTATTGTGAATGTATCCATCAAAGAGAATGTAATTAACCCATTTTAATAAAACAATTAGAATAATGAGATACAGAAGAAATATAATAATAACTTTGTAAAACTTGCTTCTTACTTTTGAAACACAACATATTCAGCTTTTCATTTCATCTTTGCATGCTGCAGTGGCGGAGCTAAGGAAGTATTTTTGTTCTTGTGGATGAGGGAGAAAATTGAGTCCCAGAGGGGTCAAAAGAACATGTCTCACTTCCCAGAGTTTTATGTCCATCATGAGTTACAGGTGACCTGAGTGTCACAGGTCCCTTTCTCAGAGCCACACCAGGGCCATGACTAAAGCAGGATGTGGAAATGACAAGGACACCCTCCCTCTTGCCACTCTTGGCAAGCCAGGCAGCAACGTGTCTTCCCCACGTGTACTGGAGGCACATTATTTTCCTAGCAACTCCATTTTTGTCTTTTGAGATGAAAAATATAAATGTTCCCTATGTACATATAAAGCAGGCAAGCCAGTGCTCCCATTGAAAATCAATTTTATATCTGCAAAGTGGGATGTGGGGGCCGATACAATCAAATTCATAGCAGCCTTTGTCAATGTATACAAACTAAGACACAAATAAGAAAGATGTGATTAGTTTCACATATTTTTGATACTTGAGCAATACAGTTACTTGAATACCCACAAAACTATTTAATCTTTAGAATTATTTGCATGTGAGATTTTATGACAAGAGCAAGGTTAGAATTAGCAGATACCTTTCAGGCAAATCTGCTGGAATCTTCTTCTTACAACCATGGCATTAATTACAGGATTTTTTTTTAAATGCTGAGCCATGGTTTTAGTTAAACACTACCAACTAGTTACATTGGCTCTTGAAATGAAGTCTGTCTGCCCTTCTGGGCCCAAATAGTTGGAAAATTAGCTCATAACAGTAATCTTGAAATTCTCAAAGTTTTCATGCTAGTGAAATAATTTTCTGGTTCTACTAAGGTAGACAAGTGTGGGTTTGTGAAGTATACACATAAGCAAAAACCAAACACACAAAAATGACACAGTGGCAACTAGAAATATATTTCTAGCAAGAAACATTTTGTTACAGTGACATAGATGAACCTTACTACATCAGTATTCTCTCTCTCTCTCTCTCTCTCTCTCTCTCTCTCTCTCTCTCTCTCTTTCTTTCTTTCTTTCTTTCTTTCTTTCTTTCTTTCTTTCTTTCTTTCTTTCTTTCTTTCTTTCTTTTTTGAGGAACTGGGGATTGAACTCAGGCCCTGTGCTTGCCAGGGAAGCGCTTATTCTACTGAGCCATCTCCTTGGCCCTTCCATTCTTTCACTGTGATAACCACCAATAGCCTTTGGGAATCCTTTTGAATGTCCAGTGATTGATCTCATCACTCTTCCAAAACTCTAGCCTGTATTAAACCACTTGTGTTATGCTCAAAGTATGGGCTCTATACAGACAAAGTCCTCAATATGTTTATGTGTGTAAACCTTTTCCTCAATGCCTTACATGTAGTGAGAGTGTGATAAATGGCTATTCAGTTGAAAATTTGTTGCTTCTTTACTATCTCTCATGCATTCTCTTGCATTTAGCAGTTCTCTGTGTCCCAAATAAGAACACAAATTCAAAATCCCTCCTAGGAAAGATATCTTCTTGTTAGCTATAGAAAAACAGCATGCATACAAAGATGAGACTTGGAGCAGAGAAGCATTTTAGACATCCCATATTCCTGAAGCTGTGATCACAAGCAATGCCTTTTTGACTATGTAGTTCTAGTTTTTTTCCTTATATTCAGTCCAAAGGTGATGCTAGGGTTTCCAGTCCTATGTATCATGTGCTGTTCTGTGGACTGCACTTCCTCAATAGGAGAAGGCTGCGCTTGAAGAAAGAAGGGAGACTCGGCTGGAGGGTGACCAAAGCAGGCACCAGGGAACTGGCTATGGAAGAGCAAAGCAAGTGGCTCACTGTTCCGGCTGTGTCCCTTTGTGTAGAAGAAAATTGCCCTCTAGTATGTACCACAAAAGCAGAGCAAAGTGTTTTCACTATGAATAGTGTCCAGGAGAGCTAATAAGAAACTCCAAAGGTAAGTTCTATTGATTTGGAGGGTTATTTCACTTGCGTAGGTTTAACAAGTCAAATATTTTAAAATTTACCAAGTGCTTGATTTTATATCCTAATTATAAACATCTTTCTTCTTCTTCATTTAACTGGTAGGCAGAAAACATGGTGTCCATCATTTAATAACAGCTTTACATAAAAATTGACTTTCTAGTAAGTTCTTATGAGAAACGAATGGGAATTTTTATAAGTTAATTATTAGAACAATTAATGCAAGCATTTCCAAAAGGTAGTCATTTGCCAATAAAGCATTGATTTCTAGGGCTGATGGGAAACAGTCCTGAGTTGGGGTTCAAAGGTAACATGCTGGTTCATCTTGATGGACTCCAGGTTTGAAAAACACTGAAGCAATTAGGTAAGCCCACTTCTGGGTGTGTCTGTGAGGGTGTTTCCAGAGACAGTTGCCAGGTGGGGCTGCAGACCCATCAGGGACACTTTGCACGGATGTGGCCACACCATCTGCTAGGGTGGGAGTCTGGATGACATGAAAGTGTAGTTGGAAACCCGCTAGCACATCCTCATGTTCTCTGGACAGCTTCATGCACCAAGCCCTTCTGAGATGACTTTTTCTGACTCACCACAAGTCTAAAAGCAATGAAGCTGGCTGACCGTGGACTGGAAGCTCTGCAACTGTGAGCCAAAATAAATCTTTTCTTTTTCAAATTGTTGTTCTCAGGTATTTCATCACAGAGATGGAAAGCTGACTACCACAGGTAGCATCCTGGTTCTCAAAAAATTTAAGATGCATTCCTGCGTTCATCTGTGAATTTATTTCTTAAGGTTACTTCTTATTTCAAAGTTTGAATTAAAATCTGCAACTTATCTTTGGTGCAATGTTTGGCAAGTACAAACATGGAAGATCAAAATGTCATCCCCCAGCACCATGTAGAGGCAGCGCTCAGGAGGAAGTACATCTTTCTGTAGTGATGAAACCCTAATCCTATGCATATGAGACAGCTTTTTATTTTATTAAAAATTATAGCTAATGCTAGTACCAGAAAATTTTATTTGTAATTAATAAATGAGATTGTAAAGTTTTTCACATTATGAAAACATCTGTGTGTCATTTGGATATTAGATTACTTATTATTAAATATTTAACATTTTTTAACCATACTACTTGGGAATGTTGCTTTGGAGATAAGAGAGGACTGTTTCACACGTCTCTCCTTGTCAGTTTTCTGTATTCACGAGTTTTTGATCTGGTTATGCTAAGAAAAACATGGAATGAATGATCTGACAAGTGTTACAGGACACAGATTGAAACAGATGTATGGGGATGTCACTAAATGCCTGTGAACCACACTTTATTAGTTTATATAACATACTTTTGACCAAAAATGAGGACTGGCTTGTTCTTATTTAAAAAAAAAATATATAGGAACAGAATGTGTACCCACATGGGTCACTGTGCTCATGTTCCTTTGTCCAAGTTCTTAAGGCAATGCATGTTATTCTAGTAGGTCGCTTCTTCAGAGAAAGGAAAAGAACTAATGTCAAATGTGATCTGTATCCCTACACACTGGATTTGGTTGCTACTTCTCTTTCTTTGAAGCCTGGAATTCCATACGTTATCAAGGTGAGATGACTAGAAAATGTCAAATGGTTGCATTTCCTCATTTACTCATAGGTTATTTCATCTGCGGAAGAACAGAAGAAAAGAATCTCAGTGAGATGTTGCTCCTCTATGACTTCCAGTGTAGGCATTTGAATGTCAAAGAGAATCATGGGTACTGAGGAATAGAACGAGATAACCAGCAAGAGTATAATATAAAACAATCGCTCAGATCCAGGTCTGGTAATAATTTCACCCAATGTGTGATTTAAACACATGTACATAGCACTGAGCTCTGCTTTTATTAAACATTCAATATGCATTACTGAATTGAATTGAATGCAATTTGTATCATATATGCCTGGAATGATGAGTATATGGCATTAAAACAACCACATTTATCTATTGAATTAAAGCCTAACCAGTTTGTGCTTGAAATCAAAGAAGGAAATTATCTTAGAATTGACTTGTTGCCAGTAGAATAAGCATTTGTCTGGCAAGGGCAAGGGTCTGAGTTCAATCTCTGGTTCTGCCAAAAATAATAAAAAGAAAAAAGCAGCATATAAAGAATTGACTTGTTACAACAGAATAAATAATAACTATTGCAATGGATTTGGTCCCAACAGGTGCAGGTAAAAGATGCTGTTGCCCGTTTTGTAGGAGGGATTTCAGTAATCCTAAAAGCAAAAATAGTGGATAAAACTCAGAAGAAAAGAGATCTGGATCCAAAGACAAGTATGACAAATGATCAGGATGGCATAGCTTCCTTTGTGGTTAACATCCCCACTGGTGTGGCAGCTCTGGAGTTTCATGTAAGCAGAATTTGCATTTGTTGTGCTTGCTAATATTGTCTAGGTCTGTATGGTAGTGATTATACAGGACAGATGGCCAAGATTTTATGAATAAGCCCAGAAAACTCTTTGAAAACATTTTCTCTCCCTTCCTTCCTTCCTCTCCTTCTTTTTTTCTTTTGTACTGGGGTTGAACTCAGGACCATACACTTGCCAGGCAGGCGCCTGTGCTACCGAGCTATCTTCCCGGCATATTTTCTGAGCACAGAAAATATAATTTGGTGTCTTGACCATTTCATAAAAGATCTAGGTTCATCCATTTTGTATTTAGGGAGCTTTTCTTCTTATGTACAAGACTTAATCCAGAAATTTTAGGGCAAGAACTGCTACTGGAAAATGAGAACATTTGTGGAATATCTTCATATCCACTATTCCCAATCATCAGCATCTCTCCGTAACTTTGAAGGGCAGCTCCTCTAAGCGTCAGCTGTATGCTTTCCTCTTTCAAGGTCCCCTAAACTGCTGAGATCTGGCTTCTGCCCCTATGACTCCACTGAAAGTCCTCTTACTTGGTTACCCATGAGCTGCTTGCTAAGACCAAATATTTTTCAGTCTTTATCTTACTTTCCTTCTCTGAGACTTTTGGTACATCTGACTATTATTTTTTATTTAAACAGTCTGTTGTGGTCTTTAATTTTCCATGTTTCTTTCTTTTTCTTTTATTTTCTTTCTCTTTTATATCTTCCACTTTGAATCAGTAGCACCTATTTATCTTCCAAAAGAGGGTTATTTTAAGGTGTCTACCCAGGCTTTCCTGTCTTCTTAAGTGCCACATTCTTTCTTATTTTATATATTTCCTCAGTGATTCCATCTACTCTCATACATCTTGCTGAAGCCTCAAGAGGCTTATTAATTCTGCTTTTGCATATGCGTATCTTTTTTTTTTTTTTTTTGAGTGGTTCAAAGAATCAAAACATTACAATTCAGGACAGCCAGCCGACCTCAAACATGGACTCCTCCTGCATGTCCTGTGTCAGTGAATGTCCCCAACAGCCACCCAGTTTCTCAGTATCCTCTCAGCCTCTTTCCTAATGTGGAAAGGGGGATGAGGTGATCATTCTGAGACACAAATATGACTTTGAGTAACCTCATTTCTGCTCACCTCTACAAACTGACTGCCCATGACGGTTCCCATCACAGCCCTAACTCTAGCATCCTGGACAGTGCAGCTTTCTTTCGAACACCCTGAATTCTACTGCCATGAGGTCTTTGTACCTCCTACCAGGGACAATTCTTCAGCTTCTAATTCCCTAACTCTTACTTACTTAGAAGTTAGCTTTTAGCTTTATCCTCTAAGGAATCTTCTTTATCTTTCCTCTGCTCATGGGATAGCTACTTCCTACCCCACGTCTCTCTTACAGATTTTGAGTTTCTTAAAAATAAAAGCTTTGTTTATCTTGTTCACTTTGTGTCCTCGACAGCTAGAATAGCTCCTTACACATCTTAGTAAATACTGGTTCAGTGAGTACATGCTATATCTCTTTTTAAACTTAAACAGAGACATGAAATGTCAACAAAACATCTAGTTCTTCAGCTTTAAGTAAAATATAGATGGTTTCAGCCTCTTGTTCAAGAGCTAGAAAGCGGGCCCAGGGAGATAGCTCAGTAGAATAAGTGCTTGCTTGGCAAGTGCAGGGTCCTAAGTTCAATCCCCAGTACCACAATAAATAAATAAATAGCTAGAAAGATGCAACATATATTCATAAGAGGACCTATTAGCATTTTAACTTCAAGAATCAATCTTGCTTATGCTCCTAAAATTTCCTTTCTCCTGAATGGTGCTGACATCACTCATCTTTATTTCCATTCAGAATCAATATTTTCATCCACTTTTCAGTTTGTGCTCCACTCCCAAGATCGCCCCTCTTCCTGCAGGCACTGCACATCACACAGTGGTGCCACTGCCATTGCAAGGATGCCTGTAGGTTGGAACCAGCACCAAGGGGACTCCCAGTGCTACAACTTTCTTGGCAGGAGGATAAGAGATCTGGATGATCCTGGAAGCCTTCAACACTGAAACCCTTTACAACCCTTTGCATTTGTCAACACCCAGAGCACCGGCTATTAGGGACCCCTGTAAGCTACACAAATGATGACATCACCTGCCTTCACTAAACCCACCTGACCAATAATTGTTCCATCAAAAGTGTAACCATCAGTACAAGGAAAAATCAGGGAGGCATATGCCACCAAAAGAATACAAAAATATTCTAGTAACTGATCCTAAAGAAATAGACTTGACTGAATTCCCTGATAAAGAACTCAAAACAATATTTTACATGCATTTAAGGCCAACATTAACCTGATATCAAAGCCAACGTAAGAAGAAAATTACAAGACAGTATTTATGAAAAACAGTAATACAAAAATCCTCAGCAAAATACTAGCAAACCAAATTCAGCAGCATATCAAAAAGATCATTCATCACAATCAAGTGGGATGCAAGGATGTTTCAGTGTATAGTAACCAATAAATGTGATGTAGCAAATGATCAGAGTAAAGGATAAAAATCACATAATTATCTCCATAGATTTAAAAAAAAGGCATTTGACAGAACTCCACATCCTTTCATGTTAAAACTCTCCATAAATCGAAAGTAGATGGGATGTAATTTAATAAGACAAAGAGCATATAATGCACGCCCACAGCTAACATCACGTTCAATGCTGAAAAGATGAAGGCTTTTTCTCTAAGGTCAGGAACAAACATGGATACCTTTCTATTCATTTATATTTTTATTTATTTAGCATAGTTTCTTTCTATGTATTTAACATAGTTTTGAGACACCATCAGCGTAATCAGTCTAGAATTAAAAAAGACATCCAAAAAAGAAAAGAAAAATTAAATTGTCTCTATCTTTAGACAATATAACCTTTTTTGACTAAAACCCCAAAGACTCTACCCAAAAAAGTATTAGAACTAATAAATGGCTTCAGTGAAGCGGGAGGAGAGGCAAATCAACATGCCAAACTCAGTCATTGGTCTGGATGGTGGGTTTTTAAAATACGACCCAAGTACAACAAACATAACAAAAATAGATAGGATGGCATCAAACTGAAAACCTGCACAACAAGGGAAACAGTCAATAAAACAAAATGACAACATACAGAATAAAAAGCACTATTTTCAAACCACATACCCAGTAAAAGGTTAAGATCCAAAACAAAGAGGCATTCAGCTCAATAACAAAACAAACAAACAGACAACAATATTAAAGATGGGAAAAGGACTTAAAAGACATTTCTAAAAGTAAGATATAAACTATATGAAAAAGAAGACAAACTGTATGGCCAATAAACTGTATGAAAAAAAGTTCATTATCACTAATGTTCAAAGAAATACAAATGAAAACCACAATAAGCTATCATATTAACTTGTTAGAATCATTATTTTTTTAAAAATAAAAGAAACGAAGTGTTCATGCATGATAATATGAAGAAACGGAAATTCTTACACATTATTAGTGAAAATGTTAATCAGTTCAGCCTTTATGGAAAACATCAACATAGAAGTTCTTTAAAAATTTTTAAAAAGAACTACTACGTATATCTACCCCACTGCTGTGTCTATACCCAAAAGAAAGAAAATCAAGATTGCAGAGACACATTAGCACCCTCATATTCACTGAAGCAATATTTATCATAGCCAAGATAAGGAACCAACTTAAGTATCCATCTGGGGGTTAATGGATGAAAAGTGATATATATATACACACAATTAAATACTATTAGCCTTCCAATGGAAGAAAGTCTTTGTGACAACATGGACGAATTTGGAGGATTACACATCAAGTGAAATAAGCCAGGAGCAGAAAGAATAAATAATCTTGCTTAGACGTAGAGTCTAAAAAGCCAAACTCATAGATGCAGAGAGTAGAAAGGTAATTAGCAAAGGCTGAGAGAAGAATGGGGAGAGTTTGGTCTAAAAATACAAATTTTCATCTCTGTAGGAGAATTCTAAATGAAAGACATTGGTCGTATAATACCATTGTGTGATATAGTTGATGATAATGTACTATCATTTGAAATTTATAATCAGGCATTCCACATTATGTATATCAAGATGTAATGTTATGCACCATAAATACATATAATTTTAATTTGTCAAGTTAAAAAAATAGTGCTACTTACTTGTCTTTTTAAGGGAAAGATGATTGCCACATTCTTTTCTACATTTTTTTTTTCTCTCCTCAGATACCTAATTCTGCCAGCTTTTGGCACTAAGAAATGAATCAAGAAGTTAGCATGTCATTTAGAAGGAAGGTCAGTCCTAGGCCTAGGATCTTTTCTTTCCTTTGATGCCACCAGACTCTGCTACAATAGCCTACATTTGCATAATTAATTTTATCGAACTAATAGCTTTTCTGTAGTCACTCAACAATATGATTGCAGACAGTGACTAACTTGCTTTTTCTTCTATCTAACCAGTGAGTCAACATTATTGAAATCTTTGGCAAACTGGCTATCAAGCAGATTCCTAGTTTCATTTCTACTTGAAGGATATTCTCCCAGGAAAATTTTTAGTTCTTAAATTAGTGTCATTCAGAATGAACCAATTTTTTTTAAAATCAAACCTAAAGGAAACATTTTCTAATGAAATATAATAATTAGTTTCCAAAGTGGAAGTAGAATTCAACAAATAGAACACTGTTGCATTCCATGGGGTCATAAGCTGGTACCCGTTCACTGGTCTTGGCAAACTGGGTCTGTATATGTGTCACAGATAGATGTGTGGGGAACATGATGAGTTATAACTGCTTTGAAAATCTTGCCTTTTGAGACTAGCACATGGAAAACCTACAGTGAAAATTTCAATTCTATAGGAACAAATGTGAAAAAAATATTTTAATGTCTGTTATGATTTCCCAGTCCCAAAACCTCATGCACTCATAGGTGGACCTTTTGGGAAGTGATTGGATCACAGAGCATGATACTTCTCAGTGGATAACTCCACAGATGAGTTGATAGCTGAATGTGATGTTGAGAGAGGATACCTGGTCAGAGGTGGTGGGTCACAGGTCGTGACCTAGATGTGTCTGCCTTTCTCTTCCTCTGAGCTGTCTGCTTACTGCTGCCTTGGGTTGAGCAACTCTGTACTGCTATGCCTCTCTGCCTTGGAGCCAACCAACTGTAGACTGAAGCCTCTATAAACTATAAGCCAAAATAAATCTCTCTCTTAAGGGTAAAGTTATAGGTATGGGTTATTTTGTCTCAGCAGTGAGAAAGACATCTGTGTAAACAGACTATGTATGCAAATATTGCATCTTTATGTAAGTTTAAATGGGAATATATGAAAAAATACCCAATTATAATTGGGTCATAAATATTTGTTCTAAACACAATAAGGGATACAAAGCATAAAATATCCAGGCTTTGAAAGTGGAGTTCTCCGCCTTCTACAGCCCTACATCATAAAGACCCATTAGGTTTACATAAGGACGTGACATTTGTAGATTGCGTGGGTTGCCGCCGCATACATGGCCTGTGTGCACAGACTTACGACTCTCCCTCGACTGGGCAGCTTCGCATGTGTTACAGTATGAATTTTCCATTTTTCTCTTACGTAGAGTTTGTATGTTACTCTTAGTAATTTAAAATACATTTGACGATAGGTTAAAAAAAAAAAGTAATGTGTGTTTTTTTAAAAAAAATTTCCAGACACACTCTGGTAATTTTTTGTTACATGGAAAAAAATACCAGTATATCCGATTAGCTATTTCTAGCTACGTGAAGATACTGATGTGGTACTCAGTGGCTACAATTTGATTTTTAATGATTGTAATAAAGACTATTAGTAGTCTTCTTTCGATTTGATTTGAAACTGTCTCATTGCTATATGTTTATCAAAACTTTGAAAAGAAAAAAAAATAAAGACTATTAGTAGTCTTGAAAAAAATTTTAGTCCATTTATTTATTTATTTGTCTGGTACAGGGTCTTGCTATGTGGCTTGGACTCATAGTGATCTTCCTGTCTCATCCTCCCCAGTAGTGGGATTACAAGTGTGTGCCACCAGCAGGGCATGCCCAGCCAGCACTATGGAGGACCACCTGAGCAGCTCTCCTTGAAAGAAGAGCGACTGTCTCCATTTTGACTGAGCCTGACCCTATTTACTTGTATTGTTCTGTACAGAGCTGGCTAGGACTTCTGTTTATCCTTCAATTAGCCTTAAGCAATGTATATTGGTCTAGCTGAGGTGCTGGTGATAGTCTTTGAAGGTGGCGTTTGTGTGTGTGTGTGTGTTTCCCTGGTAACCTATACCTGCTGCTCTTTAATATAAGCCTGGTTGAGACAGGACGGTAGAGCTAATGCTCTGCTGCGCCAGCTGAGATTGAGCCTCGAGATAGAGGCTATGACTTCCTGGGGCTTGAAAGACTACATCAAAGCTGAAGCACCAGACTTACCAAAACAGTAGATACTATATAATGCAGATTACACTTTCTGCATATCCTCTCTGCATATTGCAGAAGTAAATTTAGGCCACTCACCTAGCTCAGCTCATAGTAGTCTCTTTCTCACAGTTCTCAGTCAATCCTCAAGCCACTCCCCCACTGAATAAAACTGGGTGAGGCCCTGGGTCACTCTCTTGGTTCCGGAAAGCCATCTTCATGGCTGGACTTAGAGCCCCTTGACCCCTTGATGATTGAAAATACAATTTAGTGTCTTTATTTTCGTCATGGGTTGCATTGTAAGTGGTAGATTGGAATCAACTTGATGGGATTCCAATAACGTAACTTTGGGATTATAAATATTGGTTTCTTGGACTGAGACGAGGACCTGGAAGAGTCTCCTACAAGCACAACATGCAGAATCAGGAATCGACCTGGGTGTTTGCGCTTGCCAGGCAGGTTCTTAGATTGCTGAGCTATCTCCCCAGCCCTAACTTCCTTTTTCATAAGGTGCTTGGAAGTCTGAAGGTTTGTAAGGGATAGGGACCTATTCATAAATGCTAAGCAAATATAGTCAAACCTGGGACTGAAAAATGCAAAACATTAACAGCTACCACCACCACCATCGTCACCATCATTATTGATGTAAGGTCAGGCATAAGCACTCTTCTTTTATTGGCCTTGTCTCTTTTAGGTTAGAACTGATGACCCGGATTGTCCTGAACAATATCAGGCCAGCAATGAGTACCAAGCTGTGACCTACTCATCACCCAGCCAAAGTTTCCTTTCCCTTAGCTGGACAGGTGTTTACCAGAGTTTGCTTGTGGGAGGACACCTGAACATAACTGTCACCCCTAAAAGTCCATATCTTGACAAAATCACACACTACAATTATCTGGTAAGTTCAATAATATCTTCCTTGCATGCAGTGTTTTATTTGCAGCATTCTCTTTACTTATACAAAATGACTTATTACCTGACACAATTGATACTTAGTGAGTAAATGGATGGAATTTAGTACTTTCTAGTTTATAAATCACGTTTATAACAAAAGCTTCATGACAACTTTTTGGTTCAGCAGACAACAGACTGCACTGGAAAGACTGAATGATGACCTTCTTTGCTCATAAGTGAAGCTCTTCTGACTCTTAAATCAATATTCCTTTCCAAATATGATGCCAAAGTTTTGGTCAAGACTTTCATTCAGTCTCCCAACTGGTTAGTGACCTGAGCAATGTTTCATGGCTAATCAAAGCATTCACAAGCAGCAGGCTATTGGCCTTCCGAATGGTCCTTATGAATATGGCTTATTTCCAAAGGGTAAAATTCAAGTCCTGAGCTCAGTAATGGGATATAGTGATTCCAAACTTTGTTCATTGCTATTTAAAATACAAACTAGGGAAGATAACAGATTCATATACTGGTGATAGCTAGGGATTTGGGTCAAGAAAGTCAAGGTTCTAATTCACATTCTATCATTTCCTTGGTCCACATTTATGACCTTTAGTTTCTATAACAACTGAAGTGAATGAAACCATAACATTAAAATCACACGGGGACCTGGCCCTAGCTCAGGCCTTTAAGTGGCTGCTTCCACAAAGCTGTCAGCCTCGGGTTGCTGGAGTTCGAACCTCACAACTCTCCCGCTGGCCAAAAGTGCCCTGAAGGCATTCGAGGAACAAAAAAAAAAAAAAAAAAAAAAAAAAAAAATCATAAAGACTGAACATGTTCGTGTGTGTGTGTGTGTGCATGCGTCCAATGCACAGTAAATAATAATAGACATTAAATTCTTTTTATCACTACACAATTTTCACCCCAACTTTGAGCCAAATTTGATGCTTATTTCTTGCTATGTATTTTTAGATTTCATCTAAGGGGAAAATTGTACACTTTGGCATAGAGAAGAGAATCCCAGCTTCATCTTCCCAAATTTTAAAACTTTCTGTGACTAAACACATGGTCCCTACAGCCCATCTCCTGGTCTATTACGTCATCACAGGAGAACAGACCACAGAGTTAGTGTCTGACTCACTCTGTCTAAATATTGAAGAAAAATGTGGAAACCAGCTCCAGGTGAGACTCACATACTGGCTCCCATCTGGATTCCTCTAGAGCAATTATTTAATCTCATACTAACATGTTTTTTCTTTTAAAAACTAATTTTAGGTCCATCTGTCTCCAAGAAAAGATGTATATTTTCCAGGTGAAGCAGTGTCACTTATTATGGAAACGCAGCCAGAGTTGTGGGTAGCATTAACAGCATTGGACAGTCATACACATGGCATCCAAGGAAGAGGCAAAAGCCCCATGGAAAGAGTTAAGTAGGATGAACTTTATGTTACTGGTGTATGGCATGACTTATGACTGAGTGGTCACTGGGGTTCTCTCAGTATTCTATGGGCTGGTTATGGGAGAAGAATAACAGAAAAAAATGTTACATTTACCAGCAGTCCCATGTCACTGATGACAAAATCTGAGATTCAGATGACTTATAGTCTGAGTGCGTCAACACAAAGAGTCAAGTGTGTTACCATTTTAAATTATCTCTTTAGAGATATCAAGGTCTTTACCCACTCAGCTTACTCTCCAAATTATTTATTTTTTTTTATAGTGACACACTTGGAACTATTCAAGGGCAAAATTCAAGGTTCTTAGAAACAAAAACACAATGTAATTCTATGTTTAGAAACAAACTTTTGAAATTACTAGTTCCACACCATCTTTCCTTTGGTGACTCAGAGCATTATCTTATTTACTAAGCCTCTAGTTGCTATGAACAATAATCTTATTAAATCAGAGAGAGAGAAATTGCAAGCGAGTACATAAAATTAAATTACTTGCCCACCCTAGGGGAAGGGTAGGATTTCAGAGGCTGGTGTTCTAGCGGGTAAGTGTACCAAGTCCACTGGAAAGGGAAGCAGAAAGAAAAGGCATGGTGTGGGAGAAAATGTGGCTCCCCATGCTAAAGTAACAGCAGCCACAAATAGTTCTTTTTCCTCTCCCTGTCTCTTCCATGGGCACAAACATCTTCCCACTCAATCATCCATCAGGAATCATTATCATGGGTCACATGGGCTGTATTACAAATTTTGTGAGGACCAAACCCTCCTAAGCCAATGTAATTCATTAAGAATTCTTATGTTGCATTTTACTCCGTCTTTGTTGGAGCCATCAAATAAACACAGGGTCTCATCTTTCTCCTCAGAACTTAGAAAAGTTCCACAAGGATGAGTTTTCATCTATGTATCCCCTTAGTTCATTAAAGGATTTTTTTTTTTTTTTTTTTGGCAGAACCGGGAATTGAACTCAGGCCCTTGAGCTTGCCAGGGAAGCACTTATTCTACTGAGCCATCTCCCTGGCCCCAGGATATTTTATTAATTAACTCACTGTACAAACTTTTAGGAAAGAAGTGTGCAAATAAAATTTCTAACAACTTCCAAATGAGAGTTATCCTTCTTCAGGTTAGCTGCTGAGTGAATGTTTAATAGTGAATATTCATCAACCCACAAAGTAAAAACTAGAGAAAGTAAGAGGTGGTTGGGAAAATTGCAGAGACTTTAATCATTCAATAAGTGATCACCTGGAAACTATCATTATCCACAAGTCAGATGTTCTAGTCCTTTTTTTTCTTTTTGGCCAGCTCAGCCCACCCTAAAGGCAGGGCTAGCACAGCGCATGGTGCCTGGGATTGAACCTCAGTCCCCTGCACCTGCCTAAGCTTGCCGAAGCAGGCGCTTTAGACTGCTGAGCTGTCTTGCCTATTCCTGCAGTGGCCAGGGGGTGTTGTGTTTTGAGGGAATGATTTCCTTTCTGAACAGGTATTTGGAGCTTCTGGGAAAATTGACCAGGGCTGTGGAGCAAGTGGCGGCAGAAACAACGCTGAAGTGTTTGAAGTGGCGGGTCTCATTCTTCTCACCAATGCAAATGCAGATGATTTTCAACAAATTGGTATTTTATTATTTTTTTTTAACCAAGTAACTTGAATATTCTTGTTGTGAAAATACCTGCCCCACACCTATTTTTCTCAGATCTTGCTTCCACAATATTTTTCTTTAAAATTAAAATAATTATTTCCTGTGGTAATAATACTTAATATGAAATCTCCCCTCTTAGCAAATTTTAAAGTATAAAATATAATATTGTTGACTGTAGATCCAGTGTTGTATGACATAGATCTGTAGAACTTATTTATCTCGCTTTACTGAAAATTATGCCCATTAGTAGCTCCCAACTTCTCTCCCCCTGCTTCTAGCAATGATGGTTCATTCCACTCCTGTATTCTATGAATTTGACTCTGTTAGAGCCCTCATGTGAGTTTTGTCATGCACTATTGGTCTTTCTGTGACCGGCTTATTTCATTTAACATAACATCCTCAAAATTCAATTATGTTAATGGTTCATACTGTAGAATTCCCTTCTTTCTATAAGCTGGATCAGAGTCCATTATATGTATGTGTGTATGTATGTATGCATGATATTTTCTTTATCCATTCATCTGTTAGTAAACATTTAGGTTATTTTCACATCTTGACTATTATCAGCAGTACTGCAATTAACATGGTAGTGAAAATATTTCCTTAAAATTCTGATTTCAATTCTTTTGGATAAATACCCAGAAATGGGATTGCTACATCATATAAATCTCTATTTTTAATTTTTGAGGTACTTCCAGAGCAGCTGCAATATTTTGCCTTTCTACCAACCGTGTTCAAGGGTTTCAATATCCCTGCTGACTCACCAATGCTTCCTACCTTTAAAAAAAATAATAGCCATCCTAATAGGTACGAAGCAAGATCTCATTGTGGTTTGACTTGCTTTTCTTATATCTTTAGTGAACAATTCTCAATATAACTGTTGGCTATTTGAATACCTTCTTCTGAGAAATGTCCATCCATAACCATACCTGTTAGAAATGCCACATCATCTCAAACAGGAACAATTGTACTTTGTCTTTTCCAATTTTATTTCTTTTTCCTGCCTAACACTTTGCTAGCATTTCCCATGTGATGTTAAATAGAAATACTGAGAGTGGATAGCCTGAATTTGTTCTTGATCTTAGAGGAAAAACATTCAGTTTTAACATTGAACATGATGTTAACTGTGAGTTTTCATATTTAGCTTTACTATGCTGAAGTGGTTTCCTTTTAATCTTAGTTAAGAGTTTTTATTATGAAAGGATGTTGAGTGTCATTAAATGTTTTTATTTACTTAAACATGATTATAGAATGATGTTGGATTTCATTAAGTGGTTTCTCTTTTATTGTGTTAATGTGGTATTATATATTTATTGATTATTGGACTTTGAAATTTCTTGGCACCCAGGGATAAATCCCACTTGATCACAGTGCATGGTCTTCTAATATACTGAATTTGCTTATATTTGTATTTTGGTGAGTTTTTTTTTTTTTTTTTTTTTTTTTTTGCATATGTGTTCATCAAAGGTATCAGCCTCTTGTTTTCTTATGTCAGCTTTGGGATCAGGGTGATGTCCTCATAAAATGAGTTTGGAATTTTCTCTTCTCTTCAGTTTTTTGAAGAAGAGTTTGAGAAGGATTGATGTTAATCCTTCTTTACATATTTATTAGAATTTACCAGTGAAGCCACTGGATTTTTAGCCTTTCTTCTTTGAGAGAGGTTTATTATAATTATGATTACTGATTCAATTTCCATATTTTTGCTTAAAAATTGTTGTATTTAACTTGCCAACAGTGATGAAGTTATAAATTTCCCATAACTAGCATGGAGCTCATTATAATTTGATGGTAATGGGGACAGTTCTTCTCACAGTAATACCCTTGTACTCAGTAAGATGTTATTAACATCAATAGTATGAATGATTATTTCATTTTTAAGGATGTGGAGGAGATTTTATGAAGTATCGTGTTTCCTATCTGAAAGAAAAGAGTACTCACTAAATAAAGTTTAAAGAGATGAACAAACCACCCTAAAAGGTCTATATTTTGTGCTTTTAAAAAATAATATTTAAGCTTCTTGAGACAATGCATTTGCAAAGAGTCTACAGTGGCATTGCTACCAAGATACATGTTCACTTTAGGCTGGCCAGATAGCTCAGTGGCCTAAAGTGCCTGCTTAGGCAGACACAGGGACCAGGGTTCGATCCCCAGTGTGCCGTGCTGGCCCCACCTCTGGGGCGCGCTGAGACAGCGACTGAGACTGGACGTGGGGGTGCGTGCCTGTAATCCCAGGGTTTGGGAGGCTGAAAACAGGATGATTGCTATGAGTCCAATTTATGTAGTGAGACCTTGTAGGCACTGTACTAAAATTTGTAAGAAAAGAAAAATGCAAAAAAAAAAAAAAGATACTAATGTTCCCTGTAATTGAGTATACTCCTTTACTAATAGCACAGATCAGGATTTCTGTAGGAGGCAGAACAGGGTATCTGGTAAAATGGGCTTGCTATGGCTCTGCAACTGCCTTCAGTTCTAGATAACTTCATGGAAATATTTATCCTGAGGGATGTTCTCTCTGGTTGTTTTAACAGATGGATCAGATAAGAATGTGGACAGAGCAAGAAGATCCCTGCAAGAGGAAATAGACAAATTAGGTACTCCAAAGTTCCACTTTTTCCCAGAAGTTATAATGAAATAACTGTGCATGTGCAATATTTCGTAACTTTAGCTAATTGTTGTAGAAGAGGTGAAAAGATCTAAAGGCACTTCCAGCTTTCATTTCCCACAGAGATAAGCAAACTGAGTAAATTAACCCACATCGATTCAGTGCAGCCTTAACCCAAAGGAAATTATGGTTACAGGGTCGCTGTGTATTTTATTTTCTATTTGAACAGTTAGTACAGCAGGTAAATAGAGGACTTCCCATAAATTCTCACCAAAGCGAGGTCTGATGAACTTTAAGGCTGTAGGAGTAGGTAAGGTTACTTGAATTCTTACTCTATGCCGGGCACTGTTGATGCTCCATCCTAGTATTTTCCTGTTGTGTACTGACATCTATCACCTGAAGCAGCTGTTCTTATCATTCTCATTTTCCAGATTAAGAGAGGGAAACACAGAAAAATTAGGAACATGTTCAACATCATGTGGCAGTAAATGGCAGAGGCAGAATTCAACTTTGAATAGGGCTTATCTCAAAACTTCCACTGGGCTAGGGATCATTTTTCTCTGCCTCACAAAGCTATGAGAATGAAATGAAATTATGGTGGCAAAACATTTAGCTCAGGAGGAACTCAGTACATGGTAAGTTATAATATTTGATTCTGTGTGTGTGTGTGTGTGTGTGGTACCAAGGATTGAACTCAGGACCTTGCACTTGCCAGGCCAGCACTTATTCCACTGAGCTGTCTCCCCAGCCCCAATACTTGATTCTTCTTGGAACTCCTTCTCGGCAGTGCCATACTTATAACCTAGGCCAGACAGGAACTGTAATCAGTATTTTGCTCTTTCTGAAATCTCAACTATCTTGGCAAGTTAAAAATCTGAGAGAGAAAGAGATACTAGGGATGTAGCTCAGCAGCACAGCACCTGCCTGAAAAGTGCAAGGTCCTGAGTTCAATTTCTAGTACCAAAAACAAACAAAACAAAAAACTAGGAGAGGGACTGCCCTCTTGTATTGTGGTCTGGTCATTTCCCTTTTAATATTGGCTACTGGCTCCAGGCCAGCCTCTGCCTCCTACCAGATGTGACTACTTTATACCTCTGTTTCCTCATCTCTAAATGACAGAAAAGGACATTATTAACTCTAAATCTAAAGTCCCCTTTGGTGTGCTTTTTTTTGGGGGGGTGATGCTGGTGGTGTTGGTTGTGGTATTGTTTTTGTTTTAAATAAATGTTCTGGACTGGTGAGATAGCTCAGAAGACTAAGAGCCTGCTAGGCAAGCATAGGGACCAGGGTTTAATCCCTGGCAACACAGGCCATGCTGGCCCTGCCCCCAGGTGCCCTGAGCCAGCCACCGAGTCTGAGCATGGTGGCTCATGCTTTTAATCCCAGCAATGGGGAGGCTAAAACAGCAGAATCACTATGAGTCTGAACTGTGTAGTGAGATCCTGTACCCAGTACAGAGAGAGAGAGAGAGAGAGAGAGAGAGAGAGAGAGAGAGAGAGAGAGAGAAAAGAAAGAAAGAAAGAAAGAAGAAAGAAAGAAAGAAGAAAGAAAGAAAGAAAGAAAGAAAGAAAGAAAGAAAGAAAGAAAGAAAGAAAGAAAGAGAAAGTTCTTCTAAATACCCACCAAGACTTGCAGCTTGGCTGCCTTGCCCAAAGGGGTACAGTAGCTATATAAGGGTTTGGGAAACAGTCATGTCATAGGAAGAAAATCTAAATAAAGGGAAGATAATACTATCAAATACTGGGTAATTACTAGTAAGAATGAAGCACAAGAGGATTAACCCTGGGTACCAATAAGAGCACCAGGGAGAATAGTTAAGAGTTTGGTTTAAGAAGAAGTCAGGAAGAATTTTTCTGCAGTGACACCTTCTACGATGAATAGTCTGTGTGGGGAGGAACTTTTTCCCATCTGGGAGCTATTCCAGCAGGGGGACTGTTAATCATTGGTATGAAACGAGACGAGGCTTAGGGCACCAGGGAAGAAGGTGGGCCAGAGCCTCTGAGTTCAGACCTGAGGCCTGGACTCTGTACTTGGCTAAGAGCATCTGAATTCTCATTGCAGCATCTCAGTTCAGACACCCAGTCATCCAGAAGTGCTGCTACGATGGAGCTCATAGAAGTGAGGAGGACTGCACAGAGAGAGCAACACGGATTACTGTTGGCCCAAAGTGCGAGGCAGCTTTCCTTCAGTGCTGCAGCCGGGCAAGCAAGGTTCGAGATGACCTTTTATACAAGGAGACACTCGTGGCTCGAGCACCAGGTATGTGTAAAAGCTTCTGCTTCGTGTGCAGCACAGTGAGAGGGAACCAGGTGGATTTTGTGCAGCTGCCAGAAGCGCTTCCAAATTTGGTTTAATGTGCAAAAGATGAAGTAAACTCCCACAAAACAACTCAAAAAAGCAAAGGAGGTTGCTAGTAACACCAACCTGAACACCAACTAATCTCAGCCTTACCCTTAATCCATTGTGGAGATTGTAGGTCTTTATCTATCCCCATAAGAGGTAATTTGAAAAATGAAAATATTTGACAATGTGATTCTTTAGTATTCATTTGTACAGACTTCAGTGGCCACACATAGCATGATATTTAAAATCTTGCATACAAACAACAGTATACTTTTTAAAAAAATAATTTTATTGTGAAACAAGTATCAATGAGACAGTTTCAAAACTAGTTACTGACACATTTTCAATAGTTAATACATTGCATATTGTTGCTTTAGTGGTTATTCATTGTGCAAGATGCAGACATGATATCCTATCTCGAACATTTTTTTTTTTTTTGAGGAACCGGGGATTGAACTCAGGCCCTTGTGTTTGCCAGGCAAGCACTTATTCTACTGAGCTATCTCCCTGGCCCCTCAAACATTATTATACCAAACCTCTCTATTCATTGAATTAAGAGAATGGAGCTGTATATCTATCCTAACTATTTTGAGTATACAGATACAAAAAAGTCATTCATTTCTATCCCACTTTTTTGGTTAATTTTATCAGAGATGGGCATTCCATTGGCATTTAAATATTGGAGGTGTGTAAATTCAGCAGAATCTCCCAATGGAGTCCAGTAGTCCATAATAGTAATGGGTTTTCTATAAGACTGGCAATGTCAGAAGTTGTTGACTTGAGCTTTTTACAGCTCAGCATATTAATGTGGCTTTACTTTTTATATTTTGTTTTCATACTTTTCTGCTGGATGGTTAAGACCAAGATAAAGCAAGACCTGTATAATAAGAAATGTAACTTTTGTGTCTGATAAGGTCAGTCAAATCCCCTCAACATTTAACGTGAAACCCTCTACGGCAGTTTGTAGATCCTTTGTGAGTGTCAGGTATGTGGATGAGTCACGGCCATTGCTTGACCAATGAGCTCTCTGTGAAAGCCTGAGAGAATGTTTTCTCTCCATATGACTCTCATTAGGCACACTTTACATCATCAATCACTTCCCTCTGTGGCCCCATAATTTCCTTGATCAGAAAATTTGGGACACAACTGAGTTACATCATGTTACAGTACAGGTTCTCTTATGTCCTGAGTCCTCACTGACCTTGAAAGGCTAGGGCCAAAGTGTTGGCTGTCCTTGTAGCCCTTCTTTTTCTCTGATTTTTGGTCCGAAAACTTATGTTGTTATCCCTCCAGAAGACAAGCTTATTATTACCCTATAATATATGCAGTTGAGTTTAACCTATCTCTCTGGATATCAAACATTTTAGGCATAATATGGAACAGGTATTTTCCATCAAGTATTGATATGTTAAACTTTAAGTCCCTGCAGAATATGAAGACAAATATTAAAAAAATTGAAAAAATATGAATAATTACATAATTTTATACAGAAATTAAGAAATTAACCATATACAGCATTGTAGCAGTAAAGTCCTGTGACTTTTTCCCTGTCCCTTGTTTTCATTTATTGCCCTTTTTTAAAAAAAACAAACATTTACTTGAGAGACAGTATGGCAGTAATTGGTATGTCATGACAAGCAGTACGTATTTAGAAGACCAGAATGGTCTAGTTAGTCAGGGTGAGAATCCTACCAATTAACTGCAAGTTTCAAAGACATGCTGCAGATTCTCAGGATGCTTGCCTTACCTATCTTGTGAGTATAAATTTATGGCTTTACCTCTGTCATGTTTCCCAGCTTTTCTCCTTGCCCTCTCCTCATCAATCCTGAAGTTCTCACTTTCCTTTTGTGTTATACCTTTCTATTTTTATTTCTTCTTTTGAGTTCTTTTTTTTTTTAAAGATCTTTAATATTCCTTTTATTTTTTTTGTTTTTTTTTAATTTTTATTTTTTTTTGACATGTTATTTTTATTTTAAAGAAAGAAAAAAAAAATAAAAACAGTGGTACAAAATTTCAAAACAAGATTTTAGGAGAGTAATAATGGTTAGTACATTGTGTGTTGTTATTGCCAAAGTAGTTTCTCATTTTATAAGA